TTTCGCGGTTACACTCCTGTTCCGAAACCACAGGTATCTAAAGTACAATATCGAAAGGTGACATGCTGCACTGTCCTTTGCAGTCCTAATTCCCGACCCTTAATTCGATATCAGTTTGTGGCACCAAAACGATTGTTTGAATATTTGTGAATGATAATCAAGTTCCGTCCAGGTATCCTTGCACTGCAGCGAAATGAAGTGCTAGAGGAAGCAGATGGCGAAAAGCCGAGTTCATTGTACGAGATTACGCAGTCGTATATGTCCACATGGGTGCTACCGACATGTTAAACGCCTAATAACGACTTATCTTTACCACGTGCAATTGCACAGTAAAGAGGTAAATACTGATGTTCCAGCCCTCCGGCCACTTCAGTCGCCGGCCCCCGGTGGGCTTCATCCAACTGTAATGCGGGAGCTAGTGTAAATTGTCACATCCCAAATTACTAGACATTCTATCCGTTGGAACAAGGTACGTTGCCGTTAGAATGGGGAAAACCGGAGTGGCCACTATGTACGAGGGCGGGAGCAAAATTTTAACGGAAAACTATCATTCAATTGACCTTACATGTGCAATCTCAAAAGTCATGGAAGGGTAATTACCGCTCGATTACCGGAATTCCTTGCGAAACCTTAACCGCTAAAACGTCACCAGCACGGCATCAGGACAGGTCACCAGTGTTTGGGCAAATCCGACCCGTAGCTGAGGGATCGGTTGTGGATTGCAGAGTTCTACGCTATCGGGTGCAACTCTGTGGCATTGATAAGAGGAAACCTAATGAGTTGGTTAACCGTGATTAAGGTTAAACCACCAAATAAACGGTCTTGAACGATCAGTCGCAGTGCCCGACGATTTGCGGGATTTTCGTCGGGCTATTTTTCGCCGCCCTATACACCACAAAATCTGCTGGCGGCACCGTAACGTGGCAAGAGTGGTTCACTAATAAATAAAGTCATAACACCTTGTCGCTTTCCGCTTACCAAGCAAAGTTTCCTAGAAAAAGAAAATGAATCACGCAACGATTAGCGGCTCATCTGGACCAAAGCTGTTGTCTTGCTGGACGCTCATATTTGTCCAAATGCTGAAGGTACATCTTCGTTAAAAACAGCCCACAATGCAAACGGCCATGAAAAATATCATCAAAACAATAATCGACTGTCTTCTTACGGGCACGAACGAGCTCTCTCTCACGGTATACAAAATTCACTCCCTCAACCTCACTCGTTTGCCACCTTCCTTTCTTTGTTCACACCCCACCGAAACTTCAGTCGGCTGAATCAGCTGTAGTACGACCACTGGAAATCCTGGCTATGTTTCTTCTCACTCACGTGCCACAATGACCTCGAGAGCTATGCTGGTTGGAGTACAAAGCGCACCTTCAAGGTTATTCACACTGGATAGAGTAAGAGTGAGTAAACAGACAAAATAACGCCGCCTATTCAGAGGGTTTGGCACGTTCTTCGCCTGGCAGTGGGCCCTGTATGATAACTGCAGAATTTCACAGATAGCAACTTGACGTTCGCAAATGTAGCCCTTATTTTCGACCGCAGTATGCACTTCGTAAAGATGAAGCGGAATGATCCAGGTTAAGCTGCGCAATCTAATCTCAATTTTACCGGTGAATGCTTATTGATTGGTCCGTGAATGATAGATTTTATGCAAGCGCCGCTCATTTTACGACTTCCTTGAGAATCGACTAGCCTCTTCCCTTGTGGCCTGGGTGCTATGCTATCTTGGGAAGGGCCAGTACACCTGAAAGTACGATAGAAATGTCTACTGGAATGTAGGCATCGTGAGGTAAACCATCACCGCACACAGACTGGAAGGCTACCGTATTGCAACGGCGTGTTTCTCCAAAGTCTGACTGCCGAGTTTCGATACCCGGTTTTTATATGTTCTCGGAGCACAGGAACGTTACCATCTCTGTGACAGTGGACTAAAGCAAAAATGTGATTTCCCAAGCACCTTGACAGCTGTTAGAGAAAAGGGTAACAAGAAACTGCTCACATGGAATCCGATATCCCCTGGGATAACCGTACATTTTTTTCTCACCTCATCCTTGAACATATCGGCTGTCGCTCTCTATTCTCAGGCAGCTGCAGACGAAAAAACGACAAAAAGCGGTTTCTACGACAGGACAAAATGGCATTCCTCTCATAGATGGAATCTGGAACTTTCGAACTGGTACCTCCACACAGACAACTAGATAAATTTTGGTTTTGAGCAGCAACATCCAATGAAAAGCCCTGTTTTGGCCGGAAGTTGCCGCAGCAATTAGTGAACCAAGCTCATGGGAACTATGGAGACTGCGGCTTACTCCAGCAATTTCTCAAAATCCTTTCAATTAATTTGTACTACATTCAGTAATTAACTGTCAGCAGAATCCCTCCATCGATTGACTGCCGAGCTCCTCATCCCTGAGCCGGCATAAAAGACACAAAAATACTTTGGACGTCTACTGAATCGTTCAGCAGTAGACTCCGTGAACCGAATCTCATGAATCCACAGCGAACAATGCGACGTTAGTAGCAACCTTCAAGTCAAGGTGATATCACAGAGGTGATACACAAGGTAAGCGGGAAAATCCAGTATGTCTCAGTCGTCAGAAATATGGTCTCCACCGTCCCCCCAAAAGGTTGGTCCAAAAAACAAACTCCAGTTAAGCATTGACAATGGCAGGACTGCTTTTCTCCAGTTTTTCAGTGCACTCTTAGCAAGTAACGGAACCAATCTTCGAACTAATGCCCGAGTTTTGAGAGCCACTATCAGTAAAATACTGACCCATGGCTGCGAAACGTGGCTACTGCGGGTTAGAGAGAATATAATCGTGGAAGGTATTGACGACTGGTATTTGTAGTGGATTCTGAAAGTGGCTTGACACAACGCGCTTACAAACGACGCATAATGATAACCTTGCCTTAGTCTCAAAAAGCTACTAATGGTCCTTCGACACAGACGATTTCAGTGAGTCGGGAACATCCTACAACGTCCAGACGCGGATGACTTAAAACAGTGCCACTCTTCTGTTTCTCGTCCAAGATAATACTGTCACCTAGAAGAACAGCCGAAGGCGTGAGTCAATTTTGCCAGAGCAGGTTTTGAGCGAGGTCGCACATTGTGTATTATATGGGAGCCGCGATACACAGTCAAATACAGTCAAACTCCTAGTGTCAGGTAATTTGCTATATCAGACAAGTCCATATCATTAACCACGCGTTCGTCACATGAATTCCTCAAACGTCATTACTGTGCCCTATGAATTATCACGCGGAGTGGCTACCAAATTGCTCATGATTCCGCGAAAAATGTTTTTGCCTGCTATCTCTATTAGAACAGAGGAATAGAAGTGAACATCCCAGGTATGATTACTCAATAATCAGGGTTGCTTTCGGAGGGGGGCGGGGGAGGGCTGCTGGGGGGGGGGTGGAACTATGGAAAATGTACTTTGTTCGGAACCGTCAATTCACACCGAAGTGATACAGTTTGTTGTTTTATTAAGAGAATGCACAGAAACGCATCTGTGATATCAGCCATCACAATAATCTATCCCATTGTTCTGACAATGTAGATATGATGGGAGTGGCACATGAACATGCCATTTCTAGTTCCATTTATTGTGTTACAACCTATTCGCCGGTTTCTGTGATTTGAATTGGTATTATATTAAATTCAGTCAGTAGTCGATTCAGTGTACAGTCGACCATGCTCTTGGTCCTGAAATCTTATTTCGGAACAACGTTGTTTAGGTTTAAACTAGTTTATTGTAGCTTCTCTATAAGTATACTACAACTCTCAAGTGCTTCTAATGCCGAGTTCAACTCCTCTCTATTAATTTTCCAACTAACATTTAGAACCTCGTGGTTGTCTTCAGACCATCATTATGATAAGCTGTACTTTTGGTAGACTGAAAATCAATCGTGTTTGACTTCCTCTGCATTTCAGATTCAGCCTAATGTTTTCTGGAATAAGATGGACTTTTGAAAGTTTGCTGGAGAAAATTCACAAAACAGTGAACATGGAGGATTAAATAGCTTCTATGTATTCGTTGACATCGTTGTTTAAAAGGATCATATTGATATACACAGTCGGGCTCGATGCATTCCAAGGATTGTGGAAAACTGGTATGCGATCATGACAACCATTCCTTTATTTTTCATAACATTCCATTTTTGAACAACAAACAGATGTGCCTGGAAATTCGATTAACAGAAGAATGAAGGTTTTCCAGCTGAAAGGGCTGCTTCTATCTGCTCGTGTTCTCATTGAATCGAATTGAAGAACGGCGGATCACAGGTAACGCTTTACTAGTAATGATATGTTCTCTGTCCGGTCCAAACACTTCAGCTCTGATTGATCTTGATTTGTTCTGAGAGGTCTTGTTTGGCATCGGGCGAATGAGCTCGTGGCTTGCTCCATAACATGCATACGACTGCGCTCATCCACCGGATACAGCAAGGTTCGGCATTCACACGACTACAACTAAGTGGCATCAAGTAGTTACCAGGAATTCCCATCGATTATTACTACTAACTCCTTTCAACTACGTATGCGACATTTCGCTTCATAGTCGAGAAATATGTGCGTGTTGATATGGAGAAGAGAGGAAGATATAGTGATTTTATTTCAATCGTTTGTACATCGATGAATGAAACATTAAGAAAGTCAACAAAGCGAAAGAAAAGAAATTTTGAATGACAGTAACGCTTTCAATGAATAAGGAAGAAAATTGCCTGCTCAAAAACCTGGAAATCGATCAAAATATGCCACTTGTGTAAGAAACACTGAGCTGCTATATTGTGAGACAAATACGTCGATGAGAGTCAACGTGTTCAAGTGCACAATTTTATCGAGTGTATACCGATGTGAGGGAAATAAAGTTAGCACGAACACAACATGAAACGACAAAAATCGGGTGATTTTGGAAAAGAGAATAGAGCAACAAGGAGATAAATATCGTGTGTGCACTTAGGTAGTGCGAACATTTGGTCATAGTCAAATCTGTTCACTCGGAAGGAGTAGGAGGCAGATCAGTTGCCTTCGTCCAAGCGGCAACCTTCTTGTTTTTGTAATAAATACCGTCGCAGCAAACTATAACAGAAGAGTGGATATTGAATAATTTTCGACATGATACAAGTGTCTAGATTTTGATGAATCATGTGTAAATTATTGTCAACAACAAAATATCATGATAGTTATGTCAAAATTCATACAATGCATGTTTCATAAATCAAAACAGTAACATTCCATCATGGCCATCAAGCTGTCAAGATATAAAATGGAAGCTTACCATTCCATTCGGCGGCTTGGAAGTTTGTGCAATTTTCGCCGGATAACGTTTTATTAAACGTGTCCGTCTCGTCCCACGGGAGATAGGTGGCATTTTCATGCTGTCTTCCAACGGTGTATTTTCGATACTCAGATATAGTTATCCCAATCCAATTGTCTGTGAGATCCCTTGTACTCACGATACTGTTCCTTTCAGGTCCCAGAGCAAAGTACCGCTTGTCTTCTTTTTGATAAGTGATCACCTGCGAGACCATAGGACCAAGATCTACAATGGAAATGACAGGTAAATCACAACCGTGCAGTTTGTGGTAACCTATGTATACGGTCCGAATTCCACTTACCAAACCATCTTAAGAAATGTCCCATAACTAAACCCGTACATTTCATCTTCGGATAGGCAAATGTAGCTAATTCTGGAAATGGATGGCAAACAATCAATGTGCCATTCACATGGATATAAGAACGATTGAACAGTGTCAGTTGTTCTGGCAGTATAGGTGCTCCTTCTGGTATAAATATGTACTGATTGATACAAGGATCTAAAAAATGAAAAACAGTTTCAATATCAATTAAACAATCAATGAAGAAATAGATATTGTGCAATATGAGGTGCGCAAACTCACCTTTCCTCACTAGGTTGCTTATTGAAAAAAGCACATTTTATCATTGTCCTTCAAAATCTACTCACAGTTATGGAACACCTACTTTTCCACTGTGAGTCCGCATTTCTTCATCAGGACCATTTTCAGCTTGTTCTGTAGTAAACTGGTGAATTTCATAGAGTAGCACAAGAAATCACGGTATCATACGAGACTTTGAAAGTAACTTTGGGCAATCTTTCAATTTATGTTACAGAGAAATTTGCATTAATTCCTGAATACTAATTCGGCAGTTTTAAACTTACCAAACTGGTGAATATCTTTTCCGAAGGCTATGCCATACAAATGAACACCAAATTGCGTAACTTTGTGTTTGAGCACTGGTTTTGTTGGTATAATTCTCAGTCCTCGTGCTCGGAAGTGGTTCTTAAAGACACAGGTGTATGAATTTCCGTGGTCTGCTGTGAAGGTACACTAGAAAATTGGCACAAATGGAAAACGATTTTTCGTTTGAGCTGAAGTCCATAATATGGATTAATCAATTTCGAAAGACGTTAATCTTCGCATACTTTCAATAAGTTGAGGAGAGAATGCACGAACTTGTGCTTGCACCATCTATTTCTGTTTGAATTGCAACTACCGTTTGGGTGTATGATTGTCTTATCTTACGGAATTCGGTCGGTTGCAATAATTTCTGAAATTCACCTGGAGAAAATGAACAAACTTAAGCGATATGAATAAGCATTTTAAAAATAAATTTGGGAGATAACAAATCCTTGTTCCAAACATCGACACAAACCTCTTCGATATCCGAGAATGCCCGACCATCGGTAGTGGCGGAGATATGTCCAGAAAACCACCTTTCATTGACATCCGTTAAATTGATGCGGATATAGTACAGTTCACATGTCTTGCCCAAAAGTATTGTTATATGTCGGCGGTTGTAGGCTGAATTATCGATGTGTTCCTTCCCAGTAGTCTTCACGGACTCGGCATCTGTTGTGAGGTAGGTAGACATCCATGTTCGAACTTGACACTTTCCAGTTTCACTGGGAGTTTGATCAATCAGCTGATTGAACTGGTCTAATTTGGAATAAGAATTGAGAGGGATACTTCAATAAGAAGCTGAACTGATAAAGTATCAAGCTATCGGGAGAGAAGAAAATATCAAACAGTTTTTCCAACGAGTAAGTGAATTCCTCCGAAGCATTGTGCTCAATAACTAAGGCAACTAAGAACATTTGGGGCTATCATCACAAGGTTCAGTTATTTGTTGGGTCGCTGTTCGTTTGTTTTGAGTGCTTGATAGACGGCGCGGAATCAGATGATCGTTAAGGACAAAAGTTACACCTCAGTGCTGATGCTTCATTCAATGTTGGTAGACAATTGAAAACTTCAGCAATTCATTCACTAGCGGTTTATGATGTGATTCATTTATTACCCTCAATATTACTAAAATCATGACTTTATGACGATCGTATAGCAGATAATAGGTGGCGAATATATAATACTGCTGCATAAAGTCGTAGGTATGAAATGAAAACGTCACAATGCTTACTGCGTTCTGAATGAAGAACCACATTTTCGATGGTGTGATCGGTGGCCCAAGGATAAATATCAATTGGAAATTGTAACTGGCAATATAACATCAAGGTGAAGGATAAAATCCTAAGACGAACGTATCCACTAAAGTCGAACTGTTCTTTAAATTTGACGTTGACTGAGAAATTCCATTTTTCCATGGAGACAAAATCATCTGTCTGGAACAGAAAAATAGTATGTTCCGTCAGCATTTTGCACACTATTTAGAGCGTGCATTTTTAAATACAAGATACACCAAAACAAAGGTCACTGCCTTCATCTTTAGTTCACACATTGAAATTTTCACACATATCCTCGTTCGCTTCTATTCTTGGTGCTCCTTCCACTCATATTCTCCAATCCAGTGCAGATGATCTAGTTTGGTAGTTCTTCCCAAACTGATGCACATTTGCCGGCCGTTGTTTACATGACAGCGTTAACGAGTATCACGAATGTATTCATGTATGTCAAACTTTCAGGCATGCTCAAACCACTTGCTGGTCTTATCGCGTTTCTTTTTGATGACCTCCTGGAATCTGACTGATGTTTAAACTTACGCAACCTTATGCTTTTTATGTCTCACCGTTCAAAAATCCACTAGTCGTCACGGGGACTTCACCGGTGTTATTTTTCACCCAAATAAATTTCTTGCCATCTTATAGATGACACTTTGTGTTATTCGTGCCACAATTCATCGCCTTCCTTCCTGTGCCTTCTCTCTTTTGTCTGTTGAATTGAACCACTCGTTTCACACTGTCACACATATCCATGTCAAATGCTGATTGTTATTAGTCACCCTTTTCCAACCGTTTCGTGTAACTGACCGCCCTTTTGTTCATTGATGGACAAGGCTCGACGATGCCCATGTGGGCTTGCGACCACATGTGATGGGTAATTCGATCTTCATTGACTGGCCTGTAAATCGTGGCCGGATGGTCCATAAAGTGAACTATATACGTCACTGTTTTACGGTGCACGTAATTTACAGATTTGGATTACCTTAAGCATCCATGGTCCATCTCCTACAGTTCACTCAAAAACTAGAACAGCCAGGCACAGCGATCAAAGTAATTTGTGCCTTCGAACCCGTAAGATAATTATTGTAAAAGCCGCGTACTATATAGCAATTCAGATAATCGAAAATTCACACTGTTGTAGAATGCTTTAGCGTTTATAAACAACGCTCTAGTATATGTAAAATCATTCCGTAGACTTTTCGTTTCAATCACAGACAAAACAAAAGATCCGGGATCAACGTGCGACAGAACAAATCTGTAAAATCAACCTAGATGCTATCTGGCCTGTGTCACAACGGCCCAATATTCCTATCGTTTTCATGGGTAAAGTGTCATTACTCCATTGTTTCAGCCGTCGAAACCGGTGATTGTTTTCACTTTGCAAGGACTTTTACATCTGACAATCATCTCTCTAACTAAGGCCATGCATCTGTGCGGAATGATAGATAAAATGGATTAGGGATTTTTGTCGAGAAATTCTGCATACATAGCGCTTATTTTAACAGGTTACCATGAAATGATGCATGTTAGAATTATAAATGCTAAAAAGCTGTATGTATGTGCCCAGGACCATGAACTATCCGTGTACGAATAAAATGCGAAAAGATCGGTTGTTAGGAACACGGATCGTTTGCGAAATTTCTACATGGTCACTGAGTGATAAATCGGAACCAGTCAGATAGAGCAAAAGCCTAGAATGCACGAGTCGATGAGGTCATAGAACAGAACCGGATATACTTACAAGTATCTCCATTCGTCGGGATTCCGTTTTGTCCAATTTTGTATTTTGTTTGCCCACATCAATCAGTTCTCCATCGGTTACCCAAGGTCCAGCATGCAGATGCAACATCAGTAATTTGCACTCACACTGAGACAGTTCTGTATTCTTCACCGTCACATTTATTTGCACGATATCGCTTTGATGGGTAAAATAAGTGAATTACGTTTTGTATTGAAGACTTTTAAAAATATTTCCCATGGAAAAAAGTAGTTCAGATGGTACTCAGACGTAGGTAATCCTCCACCTGTAACAAGCTAGGTAATCAGAATACGACAACAATTTGAATGGAATATGCATCACAGAAATCAACTGGTCGAACTATGTTTACAAACACGGGCAAAATCACATGACGTATGCATATATAAATACATGTCCGTCGGATTACCATACACTTGTAAAATGTTTTGGTGGTGAATTTGATAAACAATTTTATGTATCTGTCTTTAAACTGAAAGGAATTATCAAGTTCATTCTGTAATTCATCTCCAGCTGATTCTGTTTTTTAACGTTGTTGATATCTAGATCCGAATTTTGCAAGACGTTGGGAAAACTATGCGCGAACAATTGTACAAAACTTCTGAGCATTAGGTTGTTGTAGAAGACGAGACTCAAAGGATTCCACAAAATATTCTAACGACAGTTACGCTCAGGAAGCTGCATAAAATCTCACGTTTCCATGGGAGAATTGCGTTGACTACCTTCCATCAAGCCAAAAATAGAAATCAAACCGTAACTGAATTTGGAGTTTGGAAAACGACCGTTCCAAGCTCAAAACTCCAAAAATAACCCTTTAACTCTATGTTTCGGTAAGCAAAACCCCACTCGTTGCTAGAATTTCGTATGAAGCTGAGTGTATGCGCATTCAGTTTGCTGTAAAGTATTCCGATGCACCACAATCCTGATTACACAAGCAAAATGCTTACCTCCCTACCAAAATCTTTCATATAATAATATCACTGTTCAGTAAAACAGCAAGCCTTCCTCACATCGTCATCCTGTTTTGTATATTGATAGGTATCTTCTAACCACTAATTACAACATTTCTTATAAATGTGGTTTTTGTGACTAGATTTGAGTTGTGTCAGAAGGAGTCTCTTCCTGGTAATTGCGAACAGAAAAGTACGGGATTTGCTGGACGGTCCTCGGGGGCCTCTTTGTAATGGCTTGAGTAGTTTTACTCCTTATATTTGCGACGGCATGAGCCGGAACATTCCATAAACAGATTTGTTTACCCATGTGCGCACACCGTTGATGTGATGGAAAGAGTCTGATAAGAAACAAATCCGGTAAAACGTGGTAGCTATTCGCACCAAACTCACGCTGGATATACATCAGTAGTGTTGATGTGCATCTTCAAATCGAAATCAGTGATCGGTTGGCCTTCGTTACGCACAGTGATTTGTATGTGTTCCGAAAGTAAATAAGCATCAAATCTGCCTTCAAAATGCACGATGAGAGAATCATCCGTTTGTAGTTCTGTGCAGTGGGTTGGTCTCACTTCGAATTCCAAACTGAGCGTATTCGCCATCTGATCTCCATTCTCATCTGATTATAAGGTATAACAACAACCTGAATTAGCTGGACTTATTGTTAAAGGACTCACAAGCAAAGTGATGATGCTGTGGGGAATAAAGACAAACTCTTTGAATCAGTTTTTCTGAACTGATGAATTAAAGCGATGTCCAAAATACTCCCCTGGAACGAGAAAAAACGTTGGAAGATTACTAAATTCCCATATGAAAAAATACAACTTCTATCTATTGGTCTGGCTACGTTGATGTCATGTGTTGTAGCACATCCATAATGACCGTTTTCATCAGTCACGTATTCATCCTTACTGCTTTCGATCCACATGCATCAATTCAAATGACTCCATAAGTCATCAAATGTTGAAAATCAGTTGCAAAATAGAATTTTCTTACCCGTAGCTTCGAGTTTTGTGAGATTCACTTGAATTCGATTCTGTTGGACCGAGTTGAAGTCAGTGATATTTAAAGCAAACAAATCTTTAAACTTGACATTGATTCCCTTGCTCAAACGGAGACGTTTCACAGTACATTGTGGTTTATTCGAGCCCGATGACTTTGGGCACGTCAATGATAATGATGCCAGATTTACTGAAGTTCCTTTTGGTATGTAGAAAACGAATGTAACGGATTTTGGTCTGTTCATTTGATCTGTTTTTTCGTCCTTTTTAATGGTCAAAGTTATCTGAAAATGAATAATATAGGCAATCTTAGGACATATTCATGGGAAATGAATGAAACCTGAAATGTTAGAAACGAGGATGGCAGTCAAACATTTTCAGAATAGCTCTTACACATTAGACCTACAAATATATAGGAATGAAATTCTTAAGTAAAACCAAGATCAGTCAATCGATGTTTCAATGTTTAACTACTCGAAAAGAGAAGGACCATCAGTGGTTCGGTTTGAGAATGTTAAGCAAATGAAGACCCGTTACAAACTGCCGACGTCCCGTCATGAATGGAAGATTACAGTTGGGATTCTTTTGGGGTCAGCTTTTATTTCCAGATAGCAAATGTGCTGGCCTGAGTGATTCACGAGTTCACTTATGTTAACCAAGCAATGGACCTATCAGCCTGATTATCACTGCCTCACTAACGACAAATCTATTTGATGGACGGCACTGATGAGTGAATTTCACATACACCTCTAACCCGATGAGATGTTGGTTGTTTTGGAATAGTCGTGGATATCCTCAAAACGCGTTTATAAGTTAAGCAACATAGATAAGAGCACAGTGCTGCATTCCACGATACGGTATATCCTGAAAACTCGCTTCAGTCTAGATAGCAAATAGAATAGTCTACTATGAAAACTCACGTGCACTTGGATACAGGATTTCATTTTTGTCGAATTGATGGAGTGTCAGACTTTTATTATGTTCTTGAGGGGGCTGAGCTTCGAACCTTCGTTTTTCAGGTAATAGCATGATTTCTCATTGTCGATTACAGCTAATCCATTTTGCATTTGTTCAGTGGAATATGGAACCCTCTGGTACATATCAGTTAAATGTTGTTCAACCAATCGCTAAACTTGCACTACGTGCTTGGGCTTTGGCACTTCCGCTCAGTGAGAATTTCAACCACAACTATTGAATGACAAGGTATTAATGGGAGTTAAGGGGGGAACTATAAGTTTGGAGTTGATGCAGAGAGTTTTTACTACCAGGTCTCTACAAGTAGCAATATTCTCCGATGCAAACACTTAATAGAGGCAGCCTAGTAATCACTTTATAAGAAATTCTCAGCTCTGGTAAAATGTATTCCGTAGAACGTTGGGTCAATTTACACACCTTTTCATGATACAGTAGATTATCGGTGAGTTCATTTCTTTGCAGAACCTTCATTCGCCTATTTCTGCCGAATACCTCATTCTTTTTTGAACAGAAAACATTCGTTTTAATTTTGAAGGGAAATCTTCTAAACAAACGGATGTTGTGGCCGAAGAAAATTACTGTGAGCCTTACCTTGGTAGATGTATTTTGGGTATGATCGAACAACAGCTTTGTGTTGATATTTCCAATTTTCCAATCTACAGATAGTCGACTTAAAAGCGTTTTACTCTTCCAACAAAGTTCCTAATGCTATTCATCCAAACCGCGCTATATGTCCTTTCTAGAATTGCTACTGGCGAGGCCTTCGGAGGAGATTCCACAGCGCAGAATCCACTCAAAAGCAGCATAAGGCGGAAGTGATTTTCTATTCTCTACCCTCACTTCGGTGGCCTTGAGACATGGATTGGTCAGAACTCATTTCTTGAGAGCCAAAAAAATCTCTATAGTAGATTAAGTACGGATTGAAGAGGAGTTCGTAAAAAGATCGTTGCGAGCCGGTGGTTGTCCCGAAAACCTTATAAAACAGCGTCAGAAGCCGAGACTGATGCGCGATAAAAGTATGGACACCGAGAAGAGGCAAGTTTTTATCACTTTGTCTTTTAAAGCTCATTTATTCAATCAAGTAAGCTGTAATCCTGAATGAGCTATAGGGCACACAGCGGCGCAGTTGCATTTGCTGCAAACGACAAAAAGGTTGTCTTAAAAATCAACCAAACAGTCTTGCTGATCCCAATGTCTTACATATTGCTGCCAGTTCAGTTCCAGTTGTGGTCCAGTACACATTGGCAGGACGGATTTCTGGTTGACTCAACGAATGGCTAACAGACTTGATGACGCAATCCCTGGAGCGATACGCAACGATATTAAACCACCAGTTTTTTTTCCAATGCAAGACACCTGATTGCATCAGGTCACAAAGTTGACCTGAGCTAGTGTTTAAAAAGGTTGTTACCCAGTCCAACGCCGACATTAATATCGTTCATTGAAGCGACTCCAATCACGATGCATCAGCCAGCACTCTGTGAACAATGAATACTGACCCGAAATATTTGTTCACCCTGGCGGTAACACGACCGAGCTCACTGTCCTCAACGTACATATAGGAAGAACTTTCGATCATCCTTACTTAAGTGTTGCATTTACCCCCTACTGTACAACGTATATATACTGATACGTTTCACGTTCGCGGTTGACAAGAGTAAGAGAAAAGCTTGCATCTCTTGGCCTCTATCTTACTTCTTTTGTGGTTAAAGATTTCGGCAGTCACCTTATCCGTAGCGTCTGTCTAATGTTATAGATTCAGTTCCCCTACTCATCTTCTAACCAGTATTTGCCTAGCCAAACATCGTGCCCCCCAGATATCCTATTTGGTTTCAAAGACAAAATAATTTCCTTCGATCTTGGTTTGATGAGTTTAATTCTTTTTCCAGGTATTTAATTTGTAAGCTCCAGAATCACCGCAGAACCTCAATCTGATAAAGCGTTCCCGCCAGATTCCGGCAAAGGTATAAAAACATAGGAATTCAAATACCTATAGATTTATTCTATCTTCTCTCAGAGGTGGTCTGCCTGACTTGTTCAGTTTATACTTACCTATTCAAAGGTTATATAATGTTATGTTCACGCCACAAACGACTAATTTTGGAAAATCGAAACGAGTCTTCTGCATGTGGAAAGACAGTTACCCGATATCTGATCACCCGATGAAATACCGATATCTACATAGCAGAAATTATGTACTTGATTTAGACTCTCCCCCGACAGCGAAATGTTCGATGTTGAACATGACCATTCCTTTACCAGAGTCTGGCAATTTGAGTTTTCCAGAGGGCCACCAATCATTGTTATGCACCTATTCGAGCAGTACAGAAACGCTTTAATTTACTTGGTTCTATATATTTGGAAGCAACGTTTCCTCTAATGATTAGGGTTTTGATGAATTCCTACCGGACAAGCTTTGTATATCGGTATCCTCACAAGGATAAAAAGCGATTTCTAGGACCACAATCATCACAAAGTTAAGGAGAAACAGAGAGAGGGCTAACCCTAACATACACCCAAATAATGCCGGTGAGCTCGGGCTGAAGATCGACAGACTTTACGGTAGATATGATTTTATCTAGTACACGCAATAACAAGCGGCAGTGCCTGAGAGCTGTGCAATCAGCTGTGTCAGAAGTTGCATTCTCGTGGATGAAAACGGAGAGGCTGAGCCCACGAAATGTGTACCCATATTCTGAAATATTTCAAACAGTTGTGACCAACACAACACGGGTAGACAACCCATTTTATTCTCGCATCTGCGCTGCTCACAAAAGCTAAACACGCGGCAATAAATCACGAAGAAAAAAAGTTTACATGCGACGCTTGCCAGTTTTATTACCCAATGTTTCTCGCAGGAGGACTTGTTGCCATTCTTACAAATCGGTATGATCACAAGTTCACAACAAATCCTTGGAACTAGTTCCTTCGATCATACCTAGCTGAGGAGATCTTGTAACCTAAGAAACAAAGATAAGTGGCCAATTTTGAAGGCACACAGAGGCAGCCTATTCGGTTTGGCAGTTTGAAATACCTCATAATAAATCTCGGTTTCTGATGGAAGATTGTTTTCTACACCTGGAAATTTACTAGTCGTGCTACTCATGGAATATACTGGGAATAAAGGCAGGTAAAATGTTTCTTGAAATGGCAAACCCATGGATTGTGACGGAGCACTTGAATGTAGATCAGTGACTCATGAGGCTCCTTGGTCAACTGGATGAAGCGTAACTTGCTTGGGCTGGTATGTATTATTGGACTGAAAATGAGTATGGCTTTTGCCAATGGCCGCTAATTCTTCCTCCTCCATTAGCTTGTCAACCTATCCCTGCTCAAGGCCTTTTCTTAATTTGCAAATTGTTTGGTGTCCTAGACTGGTTTTACAAACGGAAGAAACTGGAACCGGTGGTAAATCCAGTCTTGACAAAGGTCACCCGTGGCGACCGAAACGTCGACAACCTTTGAACGATTTCAACTACACTGTGTTACTAGCAGTAAAATTTTATCAGAACTACAAGCCCCTTCACAGCATACTTTGGCATTTATTTATTATTGATCCTAATTCATGCAAAGTTCCCCATTGAACTTACTTCGTCCATCAAAATTAATTTTCTACAGCCGTTTGAATTTAATGGTTTCCGGTAATGAAACTGAATCCCATACATAAAAACAGGTTTTTATGGAGCTTTAATTTTGAACTCAACCTCATGCTCTGTTGCAAAGGAAGCTGCTAATGGTGTCGGTAGGTTCTAGGCAATTGACTGCATCGAACAAAACATTTTTAGATTGCATATTTTATTGCGAAACATTTTCCAGGAACGTTTGTCATCCATGGATTTTTGTGATGCTGTAAAATGTTTCCGAATAAACGTTAACCTCACTGGAAGTAACCCGAACATTTCCAGTGTTGATCCCAGGTAACCAAATAATGATTGGGTCTATCTGCCTACTTTGAAAGTGGATTCGATTGGGCAAGCTCTCCTTGCTAGTGTCTGAATCATGTTGTAAATGCTTACCCGGTTAAGGTAACAAACGATCATTCCACATTCAAACTATCTGCGCTAAATGGAGCGAGGTCCACACAATGAAACATATTTGCAGAGTAGAAAACAAAATGACTCCAAATTAAGTTAGGATAATCAGAGGTGGTATAAAGACGTTTTCTGGGTTATTTTTTACCTCAACAATGTACAAGTGAAATGATACTGAGACTATTCGCCCTCTGGAAAGGAGACAGATCTACTGCCTCGGAGAACTGTGTTAGTCATTCGAAGTTTATTTCTACTGAAGTAAAACATTTTGAGCGTGATTCTGCTGGAAGTTATTGTCTCTGTTTTTTGGAGAAGAGATTAAGCAATTTGGTTTCAGCTCAAGTCGCTTTTGTCACAGCATTATCAACTGAAGGATTAAAACAAATGCTGGTTTCTAGCGTCTTGTGAAGTAGCGAGTCCAAGGAGGTGCACAATAAACCTTTTGTTACTAAATATTGTTAGACTTCGGTAAAAAATAGCGAACGAAATTTTGTCTTGAAGAAGACTCGTTTTCTTTATGTTGCTTGCAACTTCCATCTTCTCATGTTTATTGTGAATTTTATGCAACGGTGAGTTGAGCGTTCAAGCTGCATGATGAATCATATTATATACAAATCTAATCTCCTACTACTCACTTGCAAATAGTAACCAAGCTCTGTAGGTTGTTCATAACGGAATGCCTTCGTTGTACTTAGGCCCCTACAGAGAAGTCATCCATCATAGGAGTCGATCGCTGTGTGGGAAGCGGGTTGTTACCGTTCAAAAGCCAGTGACGGAAGGGTGCTATATCATGTAGTGTAGATGTTCAACAAACCGTTGAGAGCCAGCCCGGATAGTCTTGCGAATGAGGTGTTCGATTCATAATCGTTCACCCCGGGTTCGAGTCCCCGTGGGGGCTCGGTGGATGTGCACTGCTGATGATTCCCAACAAGGATGAAACAGCTGTACAGTGCTTCCATGGTTTTCAACGGTGAGTTGAGCGTTCAAGCTGCATGATGAATCATATTATATACAAATCTAATCTCCTACTACTCACTTGCAAATAGTACAGAGTCTAAACGAAGCCTTCATTTGTTCGACGATAACAGGTGGAGTAGACCGATGACCATACTGGTAAGTAATCTCCTACTCTAATATCAGTGAGAGAGGAACCGTTTTGGTGAGAACCTACGCCAGCAGATGTTGTGGTAAATGGTAACTACCTACATCCTTGTCTGCTCAATTTGTGCTCATTAATTTCAGAGTGGCTCATAAATTTGACCTTTTAGATGGATTCAACATTCCAAAAACATATTTGATTGCATCAGATGAACATGTCTATCGTTATTCCAAGGACACCACTGACAAAATGAAATTTGATTTGGACGTACATTACGATTCGAACGTCTATTTCTCTTGAGAATCCCATATTCCGACGGGGTTTTAATCCAGTGGCGTAGGCGAGAATCCGCAATCACTGTTTGTTCAACGAAAGTTGCGCAGTCTATGAATGACTGTGTCGGCTCATCATTGACGGAGACGACCACTGCTATATCAATCTAGAAAGAAGATAAATGCAAACTGAAATATCAGTGAGATGGGTGCCTAATTGGATGAGTAAGAGCTAACTGATACTTTCGTGTGCCAGCTCCTTTCTTCGTTTGTGACTATCCTTTTCAGAGAAGAGAAAACATGAATTTTATTCTTTCATATGCATATCGAACTTGATCAATTGCAATTCGTCAGTTCCTCCAGGTGGCTCATCATAACATCCTCCACATATTTGTACCATTGCTACTTCGTTTGGTCAAAACGAATGATTCAGATAACTTTTTTTAGTATTTATTTTAGTTTTGATTAGGATTTTCTGCACTATAGAAACGGGTTTCATGGCCTCATTTTCAACGAAATTTATCATTTTTTGATATATACAACATTGTTTGACTTATTTGCTTTGTGTGTGTCTTTGTAATTAGGATATTCTGTAGCATGCGAGGTACACACGCAGAAAATCAGTTCATTAGTTGGTTTATTCAGCTCGGTTTTATCAATGAAGGCTGCGGACTATCAGTGTATGGACAGCCAACTGGAATAGCTCAAGGAGTGATTGCGTTTATTAGACAACTTCACCTATGGTCAAGAACTTAGTTAATTTTCCCAACCCCTGCTTTGACCATCAGGCGATGTTACTGCCAATAAGTAACGTTTGAAAGGAGGATTATATTCTCATTCGTACTTATGAACTATATCAAATACAAAACAGCAAAGCCACCCATTTGACGTTTACCGGAATAAAACATGAACCCGTATCAATTAAATGTGATATTTTGCACTGAATAACGTACCCAGCTGTCTTCATTTCCCGTTCCACACAGATCTCCCAAATTGAGGTCCACCGATTTGCGACCGATAGAAAACATTCTAAAATGAAATTCGGAATGTTGGCCCAAAATGAATACTCGATTTTTTCACACTCTATAAATTTGACACTCTAGACTCAGTATATATTTCTGTCAAGAGTGTTCCGATTGATGGAATGAAAATCAATAAACCGTATAATCCCCAAGCAAACCACTATTTCCTTATTTTTTCCATTGCACTAGCGTCAGATAAATTTGATACATTTGAATACCGTGTGCACATAAGAAACCGGACTGCTCTCAGTTGTTCAAAAAACTATAATTGTAAGAATATCATATTCACCTCTAAAAATCGAATGGTCTTGTACGCAAATTCGTTTGTCTTTCAACTCAATCTAAAATGATACTCTACTGCATGACCTACAAAAGATCTGGGAATTTTAAACTCACGTCGGTCTGCTCAGTTCGTTCGGACACTTCATGCCAGATCCGATTTCTCCAATGGTTGCATTTGTCAGCTGAACTCCTTCAGATACAGTACACCTCAAACTAGATCGCACGAGACATCCGAACCGACGAAAACGAATTCGGTATGATAAGTGGACGGCATTAGGTTCATCAAGATTGGAGCTGGAATCATCTTCCGATCGGATATTGAAATTGCGAAATTGGAAGTGACAAATCTGGTTCACGGGAGAAATTAGGGTTTGTGAGATAAGCTGATTTACGAAGTACGAGGTCTAATTCTTTGGATGAACTTACTGAATGCTGTGTGACTGTAGATTTCTAACTTCTACTAGCAATTCTTGTTAGGGAATGTATTTATTCGATTTGAAAAACAAGCCATAGAATCAACGGGAGATGTTACGTTTGTGCGCGCATTTGAAGACGCGCCAGGTGGGCTTTTCAAAAAACGTGAGTCCATTGCTCGATTCAGCTAGGATTTCGCCATTTATCGATTTGATTCACTGGCCGATTGACGATTTATGCATAATAAATCATTTATACTCAAGTGTGTTTGTAAGTATAAATCACATAATAATCGAACCAATTCTTCTCATTTGAAGACAAAAGTACCGATACAAGATTGGTTAGATATCCACAGTATCCACGTTGTAATAATGAGTTCTTTCAAGGAGCGATCTATTGTTTTCTTTTTATTTTAGGAGAAGAATTGATAAAATTGTACATTGACGGTCAGCCCAAATCTTTGTTCATTTTTATACCAAAACCTGTTTTAGTATGAATAAGCTCAATGGTACATTGTTAAAAAGTTCAAACATTTTACGTCCTTTTTGAATCATTTATCTGTTCACATTCTCCTGAGTGTGGTTGCTAAAAGATTTGAAGTCATTGCGAACGTTTCCCAATCAAATGTATAGGTGCTTCAATATGGCTAAATTTTGTCATGTAGAATCATCCACCATGCAATTCACACAAAACACACTCTAGATTATCATGAAGAAAAACGATGGAAATCTGAAGCTCATATTCATCTCCTTCCGGAGTTGGTAGTACAAATCCCTGAGTAACAACAAGAATGAACATTATGACAAAAACAGCTACGATTTCGCCAGGTTTTATTGAATATGAGCGTGGCTGAATTTGATGCATGATTTTCCTCAGAAATAGGTTCAGGATTTAGACAGAAATTCCGTGAGTCGGTTTATATCGCATTTCTCGTTCTTTCCACTCGACGTTTTATGCCTCCGAAGTTTTCACTTGGTGTTTAAAAATATCTTAAGACAGAGTAGGGAAACAACATTCTCTTGGAAGCCATTACATTTAGTTGACGCAGAAGAACGTGCCAAACATTAACTGGCGAAAACATTTGCGTTTCCAAATGCCTTTCAAACACAATTTCTTGAAATTCGCTGCTTTTGTGGCGTAACCATCAACGTGGGTTAGATAATAGAAGGTCCTACATGAACTACATGTGAATCAACAAAGATTGTTTCGGTGTAAAAAACAGTTAGGTAAATTACGAATTCCTGAAGTTTGCAGAAAACCTTGCTTTGTATCTTATTATACAATATAAACCAATTACCAAGTGTAATTCGTACATCAATTTCATGTACGTATTTGTTTAATTTACAGTGGTGTAGTCACATTACGGCTAAGTGAATACGTCCATGACGTCCCACATTATTTGAGTACAGACCTAGTAAAAGCTCAAGAAGCCCGTTTCTGAACAACCATAAGCCTTTCTCTTGGGAAAATAAGCTTTCACTATATTTATTGAATTAAAAAGACTAACTGCAGACAACAACAATACTTGGTGGCTTATCTTTCAGCGAATTATAATGGACTTTATTATGATTTATTTGGATGTGGCTGGTACTTTCATCCCTATGAGTTTCCGAAGTATGTCATCATTTTGAAACGTATGAAGCTTAGACAACGTTGACCAAAACACAATCGAACCGCTCACATCAATCGGATTGATAAATTTGATACTCGCCAAATTTCGGATTGTGTCCCAGGCGTGTGAGCTGACAAAACAGACCACATGGACACGAACCACTGCAAATGCAGTCACGTACTGATTGGATCCTGTTTTCGCGGTAGCTCGAACAGTGACAGCCATTGACATGGGAGAAAGAGCAGTGGGAAATTCCAACTCTCCGTTGTTTCGATCAATCCTCACTACGCTCTTTTGGACGACATTCTCTTCCATGGAATATTGGATTCTACCAGCAGATTCTATTTCGTTCGGTTGAAGACGAACACGAGATATCCGATTGGGTGTTTTATCTTGATTAACTATTATGTGATAAATAGATTCGGTGAAGAATAATGTTTCCACAGCTGTGGGCAAAATAGACACAGAATGCTTTCGATAACAACAGCCTTGACATGTGTAAATTTATTTTAGGTAGGAATAACATCTATCAGAAATGAATACAAACTGAAGGTCAACTATTACGCGGACATGTATGCTTAGAGATGATTATAGTCGGCATAACGAAACCCTTTATTATTGCATGAAACAATAATCTCCAAAAACGTCTCTCAGAGGGAGTGTACTTTTAAATGTTGAAAAATATCTGACGGACTTACCACATTTGGTGCACTGTAGAAAAAACAGAATTGTTGCTACATAAAACATGGTCATCAACTGCCTGATGAAAAAAGAACAATTGCCGGGAGCCCACCACTCCAATGGATTTAAAGCATGCTTAATGAGCGGTGTCAGTTTCTAATTGGCCCGTAGGTGATTGGTTACCTGGTCCCAACAAACTTGGGATAATTGACCAATCAGTTGTGAATTAAATTCAGGTTGATGACAAACCAGAACATACTGTGTACTGGGGATGCTAGTGTAAAAATTCTCCATCTGAACGCTGAGTATTTTAGTTTCCAACCGCAAATCCCACGGAATAAATAGTCAAATACACAAAGAAACAACGCCTCATTAGTTTTAGTTTATCACAACGGTTCCCAACCGTTTTTGTTTGGTAAGCAACCAAATAGGTTCTCTTTCACAGCACTGATAATTCTGCTAACCGTTATGCGATGTGCGTCAGTATGGTGTTTTGAAACACTGAATCCTAGAACATCGTAAAAGACTAGACAAGACACTCAGTTATACATCATCTATCTGAAAGTATCAAGTGGATTAACTGATTACGATTCACGGGGGTGAACATTCAGCCTCCACATAATTATGTACCCCTCCTCAAAAACGTAGAAATAATACAACATAAAACGAAATGAAAAACTGATGTAATAAGTGGTAATCAGTTGTGCTATTCCAAATGCTGTGCTAGTTCTGACGGTATAGAAGCTGGATTGTGTAAGTACCTGGCCAGATAGTTATTGGTTGAATTGCTGTATGCCTATAGTGGGTGCATAAAGCTTTTTGTATCAGGAACGTATAGAATATGTGGATGTACATTTCACTAGGTCTTTGTGAAGTGGATGCGAAGAGCCAGTGAGAACCCCTCAAAAACAGCTTTTAACAAGCTTTGCCATGTTGTGATCTGATAAAGTTAGTGAAATGCCGTTGGGATATACCGTTACCAGATGATTACATTTTAAGCGATTGTGCAATGAAGTTAACAAACAAAAAATAAGGCTTTTGATAACATGAGTGAGCAAAGAGTGAAATTTAAAACGTGAAATTTAGAAAGACAAACGTCTAGCTTTTGCGAAGTAAAAATACCGTCAAGCATTACTCCAAGGTACTTCATTGAATAAAGTTGACTCAGCTGTTGCCTATTTATTGTAATGGAATTGCAGTCATTCTGAAAATAGGATTGTTTCCTACTGCTTACAAAGAGAAAACGCAATGTCACCACATATGATTAGGGTGAGGCCTAGGTTACAGACATGAGAATAATCTGACATTCGAGTGATGCTATTTTGGAGGATAGGAAAATTATAACCCCAGGCCTGTAATAATACAAATGCGACCATCTCCGCATATTTGGTGAGATGAGTATTTTCTTGCAAAAGAATCGTAGAAAAGTATGGAGAAACCAAGAATGGTGTCAGTAAGGCCCCTTGAGAAATGTCTCTCATAAAGGATAAGTCGGCTCTACGGATATCACGGACCATTGCTCTTCACGCGAGGGTCAGTGGCGTGTTCGGTACAGATCGTGATCTAGGCCTTTTCCCATCGCTGGACTTCACCGATCGACCGAAAGCCTGGAATTTCTAAATCTTTTTCTATTGTGCTCGTCCGCGTTTTGATCTGCCCACAAAGTTGACAACACCAACCAAGGCAAGAAGTAAGGCAGTGTTTGTCCGATTATCTATGACTCGGGTCACCGAGGGGTTTGGACGAACCGTTGTAGTCTTCGACGTTGGAGGAGGACGAAGAGCTCATCGACATCAACGCACCGTCTTTCTACTTTTGACAGTTGATTTCGAGGATTTGCGGTACGTAGCAGTGATCAAAAACCTCCAGCCTCCTGGTCTACTCAGCTCCTACTGACTTGGTTTTACAGCCGTCGATGAGTGCTGGGTAGAGGAAGAGGGATGGCTGCAGAGCAAACACGAAATGTTCCCCAAACTGATTTCACTGCAAGTCCTCAGCGTTTGTTTCAGCTGAAAGAAGGCTCTCCGCGCGCATCTGATCCCTAATACCACTTTACGGTTTGCCAAGCTGTTCGGAAGCAGAGGTGGGTTTAGGCATTTGAAAGTAAAGACGTATTCAACTAGTCGGTAACCGACGGACAGTTGTCGAATCGACTGGCCTAGATGGATGGTGAAAGCTTGCGTTTCGATTGAATTCACTTCTAGTCTAGTGGATCTCAAGAAAACTGATTCTGTCGGAGGTTAGCTGGAGCGTAGCGGGGGAGTCTTCTCGCACGACAATATCATCCACGAACTTTGGGTCTGATATTTTTGTTTCCTTGCTGAGCTAAACCACAGGGTAGCCGCCTAGTGCGTGACGCGTTGTCCAATCAGTAGCGTAGGTAAAAAGCACTGGTAAGAGAAAACAGCCCTGTATAGCTCCGGAAGTAAGTGCGAACTCGCAGGATACCTCGCCGTACATACGAGCTCTGGCCCCAGTTGTCGACTAGTACCCTTTCACCCCCTTAACAGCATATCGGGCATCTCTTCGGATTGGATTATGGTCCAAAAAGAAACTCTCGGTGACCCGAATCAAAGACAACCCGGAAGTCGAGGAAACAAGCTATCGTTGGCCGCTGAAGCGTATAACGGTGCTCCAGTATTCAAGGCAGTGTGGAAGTTTGATGTACACAGTATCTGTCACTGCGGAACCCCTATTGGCTCGGGCAAGTGCGCAGGTTTCTTGTCTCGGAAAAGCGGTTGAGCAAGAAATTGTTGTGACGAAATCAATCAAGCTGATCACTTTTGTAAGCTTTACATGTCGAATTATCACCTTTTTGGAATGGGCAGGAGAACAGACATTCTTTAGTCAGAAAAAATGATTTCCTTTGCTGAATGGATCCAAAAAGTGTACACAGTCCGGTAATCAGTGCCGATGAACAGGCTTTATATACTTCTCGAAGGATGCTATAATGCTCAGGAGGTTTTCTGTCTTTTAGTTGGTAATTATTCTAGTGTTTTTGTCAGTACCAAGAGGGTCACAATTGTTTCGTTCTGGACTGAAGGGGTTGATACTGTTTGGTCCTTTGGATGGTTCGTAGGCCAATTAGACGATTTCGGAATTGTTCGACCCACAGGTTCATTTTCTTACTCTTTCCGGGTGTAAGTTGTCCTGCCGAGTCACGAGGAAGCGAATCTTGTTTGCAGAACCCAATGGAGGAGTGGCGAATAAATCGGTGCAGTTTACCAAAGTCACCAGTTTTGGCAGCGATCTTTATTTTTTCGGCTATTTCTACCTCGAATCTCACCATGATATGTTCGAGTGTCTTGCAGTGTGGCCATCATTGGAGTACCATATGAATAGGTATTTCTGGAGGTGTTGAAATCGAGTACTGCAGACAACCAGTCCGCTGATATCGGCTAAACTAGTCCGTCAGCCACCGCTCTCGCGATGATGACCAAGGTTGAACTTTCCAAGAATATGGTGATTGGGTTAGTCGGCCGTACCCGAGCTAGCGTTCCAATCTCCCGTGTCGAATATTACGTCGTGCCTCCAAACCTGGTTGATTAGCTCCTGAAAGTTATTGAAGACATCGTCTTTTGTTTCGTCATCGACCGAATTGGTTAAAGCATAGTCCGCAATCATCGTCAGGTTGACATGAAACGAAGTGAGGGTTTGTGATAGTAATAGAAGAGGTTTTGCTGTTGTAACGATTGAGCTGTAGGCGATTGTGAAAGTAATCCGAAAAAACAAAACAAATGAAGACCCATTGCCATGACAAGTTTGGACTGAAAGTAATTTCAAGGTATCAACGGCATTGAGGGTGGAGATTGATAATCAGCAAGCAAACTGAGCAGGATCTGGAACATATTTGATTATCGTTCGATCGTTGAAAAACCAACCTTTCAGAATCTCTAAGGGGAACGAAAATGCAAGCGATGGAACGGAATTTCGAAGGACTATATTAGGGAATGGGAATTAGAGCTGCTAGCTGCCAACAGTCTGGAATATTTATTTCCTTGAGACATTGGCTAGACAGATCAGAGAGTTAAGGGGCTGAAGGTAACCACACATTTCCCGAGTGCTTTGTAATTCAGTCCGATGGATCCTGATGGTTTTCCGGGGTAGTGATGAAGCGGTGTCTTGTAGACATCCACGAAGTGGATGCAAAATGGTAGTTCTTGAGATTCACACCAGTTCAATTAAAGTGATTGCTTCACGAACCCTGTGATGAATATCCAGTAGCTACGTACCATCCGACCACAATTATAATTATATAACAATGCATGGAAAATAACGAAAACCTCCAGTTGAACCGCTTTTTAGTTCGTTCATATTGCAAAAAGATGACAAGATTGGGTAGGATACTTGTATTCCAACGGCCAAACAAGTCAAGTCATGGAACATAAGTGCAGCACCAACATTGTTCTGGCGGCTGCTTGAGTGCTTCGGCTACGTTTCGGCCAGTTGCTCGTGGCTGATAGCTAGCTTCTCTTGGGCATCATTTCTATTCGATTGGTCCGAATATTCATGATGACGGCTTGATTGACAGCCCCTCGCTGGTTGTCGGAGATCCCACTGCTTCCCATCTGGTGCTCTGTTTGCCTTCGTTTCTCCTCTTCGGGAATCACACGACATATTGGCCGTCTGTTCTTTTGTCGGTGGCCCTCGTTTGGTTTGTCTATTCATTTTGATATTCACTTCGTTCCCTTGCCCCAATATTCCCCGTTACAATAACAGTGTTAGTAATTGTAAGGAGATTTTGTGAGTGGATTTGTGGGCAAACACATGTGTCTTTGTACTTGATTAACGATGTGGAGAGATTTGATGAAATCGGAATGAAGAGGAATTGGCTGGTCATCAAAGTTATTAAAAGAAACTTCAACAAGCATATTGATATTGGAATATGGGTTGTTGAGAGAACCAAGCCTGGGGCATCCCACTAGAAAGTGAAGGATCTTAAATGAATCTGACAAATTTGAATTCTCTACGAAGCAAACCTGGAAAGATAACGGGAGAAACATGCAGCCAAACTGCTGCTTTTGTGAAAACGAAATTTAAGTAAGGATTAGAGGACCAGTTGATCAGTTCAG